ATATGTTCTTCTCAACTAGTGAAGTAGTTTAAAGGTAATGTTTTTAAAGTGAAAATAAGAAATTTTGAATTTGAATTAAATAGTATATGAACGAGATAAGTTAAAGAATAAAAAAAAAAATCATCTCTTATTAAACAACTCAAGAATAAATGAATAAATAAATAAGTAAATAAAAACTTTAGAAACGTTCTTGTATTCTTGATTTTTGGGCGATAGTCTTAGGGGCAGGCCGGACGGGAGGCATTTTCTGCTCAATTGCTCATCAAACTCATTTGGGCAGAGATGAGTTTCCAGTGGACTGGACTCATTTGGGTAACTACGAGGAGCCCATTATGGAATCACATTTGAAGTATTGAAGATATTAATCCAAGCCCATCTGGTAGTAATTTATAGTTTCTGAATCTGAACCCATCATCTCTCTGGTGGACTGACTATACTATTTTTTTTTTTTTCTGTTCTCAACTTGCAGAAAGTTCCTGAACAATTTTGTTCCTTAAGAATTCCATTCTCATTCTCTAATCAACTTTCATTACAGAATGTTCTTTTTTTTTCAGCAAAGGAGTTAGTTCTGAGCGAATGTAGTTTGTATTTGTAAGGAGGTTTGTCTTAAAATCAAATTTATATAGACTTTTAAAAGAATATACTCCATATCAGTCTCGATTTCTGCATGTGGAGAGCATTTGAATGCTGATTATTCGAGAAAAATTCCTTTTAGGGAGCATCCCACAGGGTGTGATTCTCTCTCCCAGAATATTTTTGCTTCTGCTTATAGTGTTTTAAAGAATTTAAGTCTTTATATTCAGAATCAGGTTTCTTATGGACTGTATTGTAGAGATGGAATGCCTTCGAAAAGAGGATAGGGGTAACCAAACCCTCCAAAGAATTGCGGAGCAGCTTCAATGTTATAAAGGACCAAGACGGAGTAAGGAAATAGAGCAGAATTCTATTGATACCGGCTCGGGTTTCAGGCTTATGGAGGCCCAGGATGCTGAAAATAAGCAGTTTTCTTGTGCAAACGGAAGGGACAGGAGAGCAGCTGTGTTGATATGCCTCTTCCAGGGCTATGAAGGCGAGTTACGTGTCATTCTTACTAGAAGGTCCATGAAGTTGGCGTCTTTCCCAGGTAATATTGATTCCAATTTAAGATATGACATGAAAAATGTCGAAACTAAAGCATTCTCTGTTGAAGGAAATAGGAGATGTAGCATTGCCGGGTGGGAAGATGGAAGAAGGAGATGTAGATGACTCTGCAACCGCACTGAGAGAAGCCATGGAAGAGATTGGCTTGGACTCAAACTTGGTTCAAGTAGTTGCAAATCTAGAGCCCTTCATCTCTCAGGTACCGTGTGACAGTATAGTTTTCATTTTCAGTTTTTGTTTTGAAAATTTTAGTGCTGATAACAAATGTGCCCCTTTATGCAGAACGATCTCCGGGTTGTTCCTGTTGTAGGCCTGCTTGCCAGGATAGAAGATTTCAGGCTTGTACTCAATGCTGATGAAGTTGAAGCAGTTTTTGATGCTCCACTCGAAATGTTCCTCAAGGTTTTTAGTTCAACAGCCAACTAAACTTGTAAGTTCATATGACAGTTCTTCAACTTACTTACTTCACTGTTCTGTTCTGTAGGAAGAAAACCATAGATGCGAAGAAAGGTCATGGAAGGGTTGGAAATATGTTCTCCATTGCTTTGACTTCGAATCGGAGAAAGGGGATTTCCTGATATGTGGCCTGACTGCAAGCATTCTCATTAGAGCAGCCTCTGTCATCTACCAGAGGATTCCCTGTTTCAATGAACATCTCCCTGATTTTCAACAACTGCAAAGAACCTTGAATAATGGAGCATAGTGCTCTGAAAACTTCTGTTTTGCAATATTCCTTTAAGCAAAAAGCTTCATGCTTTGTTTCCCTTTGTAGGTTTGTAATGGAAAGTAGAAATAGTCTGTAACTTGAAAAAGTGTGAATCTATGTTCTTGATTTTCCGCAAATTCAGCCAAAAGCTGCCGGATTTGGAATAGGTTGGAATGACTTTGAATCTTTCATGGAAACCATGACCGACCAATCACAGC